CCTATGTGAGAGACCTCCATCATACTGGAGGATAGGTTTCAACATATGAAACCTGAGGGAACCCAAGAGTTCATTCTATAGCAACCTATGAGCTAAAGAAAGAGGAAGTAGAAGGAGAATAGGGGGGGAAAGCAGAGAGGAGGAAGCTTAGTTCTGATCCTTGTGGGTAAGTGAGTGTGGAGCCTGGGATCATATGTAAATGAACAATGGGAAGAGCGTGTGTGGCTGGACAGGAAGAAGAGTGAGGAGAGCTGGACACAAGCTAGCCTTGAAGTCCACATAGCTCTGGCAACACTGTCCCTTGCCAAGAGTAGGCTTTGCTCACTGAGAGAGAGAAGGACAAGGCAATTTTTAGAAATATAATATAGGGACAAGCACCCTCTACTTATTTTAGCTTGCTCCTTTGTACCTCAGGTGTCTTAAGAACTAAAGGCCGAACATACAAACAAGTCAATAAAAGAAGTAAATTATGTCAAAAAAATCATGTCCTAGGCACTGTATCAATTTATCCATCTATATAAATTGTAACACAATAAGTCATAAAATGCAATATTAGATCTTTTAAATATTCAAAATCCCAAGGCTGACCATAATCTATCTCCCTGGTTATCTCCATGACCTCGAATTCAACTAATCTGTCATGGTAAGCTGGCTTCTGGGTTGGTGGGTCACTGAACTAATGCAGACGTGCTATTTTGATTTCAACAAGGTATATCATAAGGTTCAAAGAGGTCTGTGTGAGTTGAGCCCAGCCTGAAAGCGGCTGGTAAAAAGTGAGATTTTCTTCTAAAGATTTTGTACAACAAATAGAAAGCCAACCTTGATAAAGAAATCGAGTCCCAAAGTGTAAAGAACTTTCTGAAAGATTTCAGTTCCCATTCCATACTTTATATGCTTGCCTTCAAGTTAGAAGCTTTAGCAGAGTTTAAAGACTTCATCTCTTTAGATGTGGAGTTCTTTATTTAACACTGAATTCCATCTCTTATACTCATAAGTAAATACATTAATAAAATTCTGTTACAACTTTTAAAGTTTATAAGAAGTGAGCTTGCAGATGGCTACTTAGTGAAGTTCTCAATAGATCTTACTGAGAAAAACGAAGGGGAAAGCAATCACTCCCTCTTTTTTTCTTGTGCACCACATCCTAGATATGACTTTGGAACAGCTGAAGCAGATGCCCTTTGAGTTTTCAAATTTGACAAAGTTGGGATGGAAGTTATTTTCCCTCCTCTATTATTTCTGGTATGTCAGTTTCCCCGTAATTTTGGGGCAGGTACCATAGTCAAGTGGCCATTAAATCTCATTTCCTTTTTCTCTGACTATTCCTTTGACTCCGGTGACTAGTCCAGCAGTCTCCAAAGTGGAGTTCATGATCTCCAAAGTGGGGAAGGCACAAGAAGATCTCTTGGGGGGTGGTGCTGAATGTTGTACCTTTACCTACAAAAATTGGCATGGGAACATGATGACAAGTATGAGTTTTATCTTCTACGTACCCAATTTTTAAACTTCATACTTCTTCCTTTTTAGGAATCAAATGATTTACTGTCTTTGTATGTACACAATTTTGCTAGTATATGGGGATTGGAATGGGGCACATGGTTTAATCACAAGTACCTCAAGAATTGAGTTAAAATGTTTCTTCTGCATAGCTATTTAAAACATAAGACTTATGTCTATTTTGTAATGAAAGGGTTATTAAAAGAATTTCTGGCATGAAGAAATAGATGACAGAAGAGTGCAGGGGAGAATTTGGGTCAGATCTTGGAAGTTCTCAACCAGTCACTGTGAGGCAGTTATTTAGTCCTGAATTGGCCTGAATACCCACTTCTCCTCCTCATCCTGCTCAAGAGAAGGGAAACTGAGCTGTGTCTGTGAGGAACCATATGAACCAGAAAGTGGAAAATCCCCACATGTTTGATCCTGCAGTTCCAATTCTAGAAATCCACTTTAAGGAAATAATTGAAAAATGAGGCAAGTATTCACATATATACATGCTTACTGAAAAATATATTAAAAAAAACACAAAAGAGAAACAACTTAAACACCCCCAGCTAGGGTACTGGGCACATTCATGCTGATAGACCCGTTCAGTGGATATGTGGACTATCGTGCAGCCTTTAACACTGATGCTGTGTAAAAAAATATGAAAGCATAGAAAATGACTCTTGATACGGAGTTCAGTTAAGAACTAATGATCAAATACTTTACCCTGATACTGATATTTAAAGAGAAACTATAAAGAATTGGAAGAAAATCCACCCAAATCATCCACTGTCGTAATCTTTGGGTGACAGGGACATGGGTTATTTTTACATTAAATTTTTATATTGTGTACGTTAAGATTTTATTTTTTATAAGGCGCATACACTGCATTTACAATCAGTAAAAGAAAGACAAAATATTTAAAAACGAGAGAAAACGATGAGTCCGGCTGGCAGGAAGCCGCAGAGCTGGCGCTTCCTCTGGTAAGTTACGGTTGCTGATGCTCCTTTTCGTTTCCCCTTTCCCTGCTGAGAGAAGGGATGTGCTGTCTTCTCCTTCCCAGCTACCCAGCCCAGCCACACAGTCACTACTTACTCCTTTTAGAAAGGATAGATAGATCTCTGTGAAGAAGTGTGGCCTTTTCCAGATGCACACCTGCCTTTTACAACTCTCCGGAAAACCGTCTCAAAGCAGCAGAAATAACCTCTAACGACGATGAAGTCAGGATCTGTACTTACACGAGTGCCTGACGAGGCACTGCACTTAGGGGACCCAATTAAGAACATGTAAATGTGATCTTTCTGCCATCAAGTCCGGAGCTCCTGTAGCCCGCAGGGCTACGCAATGCAGCCCCCACGTGGGAAGGGGAAGGCACTGTGCGTGTTCATCCACTTGCTATTATTCCCTACGTGTGCTTCTACTTAAAATCCACAGGTTCATAAATAATCTGCTTTGATGAAGCAGTGAAGGCAATCTTTATTCAGACTGGATATTTTCTGCTTTGTTTTCAACCTTTTTATGGAACTATGGTTCACATGCGATGTTTCGTTAGTTTCAGGGGTACAACATAGGGATTGGATGATTCTGTACATCACTCAGTACTCGTCGTGATGAGCGTAGTCACCATCTGTCACTGTGCAGTGTTATTACAATATTATTGACTGTATCCCCTATGCTGTGCTTCTCATTCATATGACTTATTTATTTTATAACTGAAGTTTATACCTTTTGTACCCCTTCTGTTCTCTGTTTTGGATATTAAAAATATATTTTGTCATATTCTTCCAAGCTGTTATGCAAATTGAGGCCCTGTCTTCAAAAGGGGGGTTTCTGGAAGGATCTTAACACTGGCTGCAATACAGCTGACATATGAAATTCCACTGCGATCGAACATGCAAGGTGGGGAGTCTAGCTCCATTGTCCTCCACCCCACTCCAGTGTCTCCTAAGCTCTGGAAGTAAGACAGAGTAATTCTCCTTGCTGACTGTCTACTCAGGGACTCACACTTCTGTGGCTGTCAGGTATGAACAGATTAAAGCCTTTTTGTAATTTTCTATCAGACACAGGCAGCCTTGGGATATCCTTGGCCACCTCATTCCCCTTATGTTCAATTTCCCATTATCAGTCTTGCCTGCTTTTGCCTGCTTTCTCCACAAAAGGGCCTTCGTGGGGGCTTTCGCATGTGGTGGGGCAGTGCAGGAGCTGGGCGGGATTTGTGATGAATTTCTTACCAGAGCTAATACAGATTGAGGTGGTAGAGACACTGCATGATTGGTTTTTCCTTCAAAGGTATGTTTGGGCCTCTGCCTCCGTGAGCTCTCACCCTGGCCTCTTACATGCTCATTCATTCTGTACAGGTCTCAGAAATGCACACACACGCACACAGGCAGTATGAGCATGATCACCTCCCTGGAAATAAAACATTTCAAAGGCTTTTCCCTCCCTTTCTTCAGTTTAAGTCCTTCATCATCTTCCTGCCTAGTAATGCCCACATCTTTTCACATTTTATCTGTAAACCACCCCTTCATCTGTGGATCATTCATCTTTTGGGATCAGGATTGCTTTAAGGATCAGATGGCAGCTATCATAGACATGGTGCTTCTTTGAAAACTGAGGAACAGTCTACAGGGAAACAGTGGGTTTGTATTGTTATCTCATAATTTCCACAGTTAGTGCATCTTGCCTGGTGTTAGAACACAGTGAGGGATTCTCATCCTGCTCTCCTTCCTCTCATGACTTGGGACTCCCTCCTAATCAGGAAATCTGGGAAGAGGGGAAGGCAGTCTAGCTCACATTAAGCATGGTGTATTATATTCAATCCTTCTTGGAATCTTATGATGTAAATATGATTACCTTTTCTACTGATGAAGACACTATGGCTCAGGATAGGAAGGCCAAAGCCACCGAGCCAGAACATAGCAGGGTGTAAAAGGGCATGATAATTCCTCTGCAGCTTTTCTACTTATTCCGGACAATGCTTCTCCAAGAGCCCTGTAGTGTTACTTCTGTGGTCCCACTTTATAGAGAGGTATGTATATGTGTATCAAGGTGTTTCTCTAGTGGAGGCAACTTGACAGGTTCCTATTGTCCTTTCTCTTGACAATGACCTTATCCAAGTATTTTTATTCTTGGCCTGGCTGGAAAAAAATTATTGCTGATGTAGGGAGAGAAAAAGATTCTTCCTCTATCCTCTTAAGTTCAGTGGTTGGGACCAGAGAATCAAACGGAGAAAAGACAAATTAACAAGAGGAAGAAAACAATTGTTTATTTATGCATGCAAAGCACATACACATGGGAGAATTCAGTGATGAATAACTCAAAGGAGTGGTTAGAATTTGGAACTTATATATATCTTAGCGAAGGGCAATAAATTTGTGGAAGGGTGACAAGACAAAGGAAAGGGGATTTGGGTTTTTGGGGTTGTAAGTCATTGGAAGGTAAATATATGGGGAAACTAATGGAAGACAAGGGGCTTTTTTTAGTAAGATTTTTTTTAAATTACAAATCCAACTCAGTACCAGCTTTCTGTCTCCAGGACTAATGGCAGTTCTCCTCCTGGTATGGGAAAGAGGGGGAGGAACACCTTCACAAAGGGAAATTTATGCCCTGCTTTTAGGCGGAAAGAGAGGATAGAGGATTTTCCCTGTGTCCACAGTTTCTTATGCCAAAGTGATGTATTTTGAGGTGGCATGTTCTGATCCCCTTCACTGCTTCTCAAATTCTGAAAAGGGAGGATGAGTCTGAGTAATACTGAGGGTGATGAGGGCCCTTAAGCCACAGAATGTTTTGCAAGCTGCTGCCAACTATGAGATACCAGCACAACCTAAAAAGGACAACAGGCTGACAACCTCTATTTTAATGGGGGTTTAATTTTAAAATTGCTATTATGAGAGTATTACTTGGAAATTGACCAAAGTAATGCTTTGTTAATATATTCAGGGCGCCTGGGTGGCTCAGATGGTTAAGCGTCTGCCTTCGGCTCAGGTCATGATCCCAGGGTCCTGGGATCGAGTCCCACATCGGGCTCCCTGCTCCTTGGGAGCCTGCTTCTCCCTCTGCTTCTCTCTCTCTCTCCCTCTGTCTCTCATGAATAAATAAATAAAATCTTTAAAAAAAAAACAATATATTCAGATAGAAACACATAGGTTTTTCTGATCAAAGTAAATAGTTTAACTTTGTATGTTAAGGGGACATACAGGATCTGGGAATTCTAAAGTATATGATGTGTCACATTTACATGTGATACAAACATTTTTTCAAATATTTTGGTCCATTTAAAGTGCTTTTAAAAATATTTTTTCAAACCTGTACTTCATTATGTATATTATCTTTGACCCCTCTCCCCAAAAAAGAAGAAAGAAAAATTCAGCTTGGATTTTCCTTGCTTCTTTCCCTTCTCAAAGGCTTAATTTATAGTTGGTTTAAATATTAACATACAATGAACATGTACTAAAAGAGTCAATTATGTCAAGATCAACTAACCAGAATTCTCCATTAATGAGACATTAAAATACACTCTGCTTTTTTGACAAAAATGTTATCTTGTAAGAAAAAATATTGAGAGCAAGGCATTAAGAAAAAAAAAATTCAGAACATGATATAGACTAATGACCACAGCAGCCCCTGAATATTCATATCCTCCTATCTTTTCGAAATTCCCCGATGATGACCAGAATCATCTTGTCTTTTTCCTACATTGGACTCTGAGCTCCTTAATCCAGGGATGTGTTAGCTCCTGATAGACCCGGGCCACAACACATTGCCTGGCTCACAGTAGGTTTTAGGAATGAATTCATAGCAAAAATGAGGACCCAGAGATCCCGATTCTTATTCACCTAAAAACGATAAGTCAGTTCTGTAAGTACCATCTTGATTAAGGTAAGTGGGAACATCATCACTATCTTGGGGTGGGAGTTCCGGGGACGGTGAGGGAACCGGCATCTTCCCTGACTACACCAACAGCTCTTAGCCATATTCTACCCTCAACACCAAGGGCTCCATCTCCTTCCAGGGGAATTCATGGCTCATGATGGCAATGGGTCTCAATGAGGAATGTGGTGCATTTGCGTAGGCACTTTGGGGGGATTCTCTTGTAGTAAAAGAAGTCATTAAATACTCAAGCTCTGGACAAGAAGTGCAAAGCTCTGCTCTGTTAACTATCAGCTTGTTTAGGTTTCAACAATTTCTGTGCCTGTTTGTCAACCGGGAAATGGCAGTAGTAACTGTGAATACAGTTGACCCTTGAGCAACAGAGCTTAACTGCATAGGTCCACTCACTCACGGACTTTTTTTCCAAGAAATACAATACAGTACTTTTTTTTTTTCTTATAAATTTCTCAATAACACTTTCTTTTCTCTGGCTTACTTTATTATAAGAATACAGTATATAATACATATACAAAATATGCGTTGACTGTTTATGTGATCGGTAAGGCTTCCAGTCAACAGTAGAGTGTTAGTAGTTAAATTTCAGGGAGTCTAAAGTTACACATGAATTTTTGACTATGCGGGGATTGGTGCCTCCAACCTGAGTTATTCAAGGGTCACTTGTTCTCCACAGGGTTGGTGTAGAGATTAAAAGAGACAATGCCTTCCAAAGTGCCTGACACACACATACATGTTGATTTCCACGTCTACTTAAGGACTTATTCGGGCACACTGGCCTATCAGCATAACAATCAATGATTTTCCCCTCAGCTAATCCTCGGTGACTGGACAGCCCCCGGTGAGAAGTTCTTAGTCTGCAAGGGTGCAGCTGTGTCTCAGACGCTTTGATGAGCTTATTGTTACTGAACATCTGCTCACATTTTGGTTTTGTTCCTTTGGCTGGATTCTCAGATGCAGACTTACTAAGCCGAAAGTTAGCACCATTCCAAAAGCCACTTTCCAAAAAGTTTGTCTCATTAATCTTCCAACCAGAGACCCTCAGCTTTGTGAAACGTTACTGTACTCTCTATTTTCCCTTTATCTTAAGTTGAGTGTATTCTACATGGAAATGTGAAAAAATAATGTAAAATCTAGGCATAAAATCTATTACAATCTCGGGGCACCTGAGTGGCTCCGTCGGCTAAGCGGCTGCCTTCTCTCCCTCTCCCTCTGCCTGCCTCTCTGCCTACTTGTGCTCTCTCTCTATCTCTCTGTCAAATAAATAAATAAAATCTTTAAAAAAAAAGTCTATTACAATCTCTCAGAGACTGTGCAGAGGTGATTGGCAGCACATATCAGGTGGAGCAGTGGACCAGGTCAAGGTGAGAGTGGGGACCACTGCTCACCCTGCAGACCTACACAGTGGGAGAACCTAACAGATGCCCCCATCCATCTCCCTACCCAGAGCAAGAGCATCCTTTGATCCATAGCACTTCCTGATTCTAGGTATTTTCTTTTCCTTCCATCTTAACTTTATCCTTGGACCAATTCCTTCAAGAGAGCTGAGTGTTTGTGCCCCAGAGTCAGATGAAACTCCTTGTTTCTTTTGTTTAGATCAATAAAAAGGGCAAAAATCATTTGAAGAACTACTGACCTTCTTTGTTGTTTGCACAAATTATTTTCATCTTTCTGTATGTTTGCAGCTAAAGGGATATTTAAAAAAAAAAAGAAAAAGGCAAGAGCTATATTTTTTATCTCACTAGAGTAATCCCCATTGCAATACTTCCTATATTTGCCTGCCGAGGAAATGTACTACAGTTCTTCATGAGAGGAATGAAGATTTATATGTCTTGTCTTTGTCCTGTGCACACCAATTCCAGCTCATGGCTTCAATAAGCTACAACAGTTAGGTTTAGAAATGGTCAGCTGGAGGCAACAGATGATTTCTGAATTCAATCAAAAGATGAGCCAGTCAGAGGTGCTTAGAGTTTTCCAAAGCCTATACACACTTCCCTACATTGTGCTGAGCTGATAGAATAATTTCTCTTAAACCCAGTAGGCCAGATTCTCGAGCTCCTGAAGACTTATGCCCTGGAGAGCCTGAAAACCCATTCATAATGCACTATGTGGCTAACTTATAAAGGAATAACCCCTGCTTCTAAGACCTGTCAGTCAGGTGTAACAGCATGGTGCCTGGAGACCCAGGATGAAGTTAGCAGAAGGCTTTAGTTCATAATCATAAGATGCCATCAACTCACTTTGTTTTTGTGTCAATGGTTTGATAATGAAGTTTTTTGTTCCAAATGGTGCTCTCGTGGAGAAACGGGCAATCAATCATTTTGTTCACTCTCTCATCTGACACTTATTGGTAGCTTGAATATGCAGTTTCTGCGAATAGCCCTGTGTCCAGACAGACTAGTTGCCTGGCCTTTCTTGCTCCCCGAGTGTTGGCAGATCTGTCGGTGCCTGACAGATAAAGGGGACAGTGTGGAGAGAGAGGGGAGGACTGAGTCCACTGTGCGAATCGGGGGGATTGGGTTGCAAAGAGAGGGAGTCCCACTCTGATAGTGAAGGTGAGTGAGTGGTGTGAGTTCCTCATATTTCAATTTGGTTTTTGATGACTTATTCGTGCCTTCACTAAGCCAGGTAGTTCTGAACTCAATACGCTATTGTTCATCATGCATAACATATTGAACCTGTAAAGATTTATCAAGGCCAGTTTACTTCAATGAATATTTATTGAGTATCTGATATATGCAAGTGTTCTTTAGGCTTCCAGACAGGAATTCAGTGATGATAAGAAAGCAGAACACATTCTCAGGGCACCTCCTGCCCAGGCAGAGGGATAGCTTTGTGTGCACACCTGAAGTAGGAGGTGGTAAGTCCTCATGAAACGGCATGAGGAGTTGGAGAGAAAAGAGCTCAAGTAGGACCAGAAAAAGTCTAGGAAGGAGACAGAATTTCAAATACAGTCATCCACACACCACACTGCACGGTGATCCACACACCACATTGCCCAGTGACCTACACACCATCCTGCATGGTGACCTACACAGCACACTGCACAGTGACCTACACACCACACTACATGCTGATCCACACACCACATTGCACAGTGATCTATGCACCACCCTGCATAGTCACCTACATGCCACGCTGCAGGGTTATCTACACACCACACTACACGCTGATCCACACACCACACTGCACAGTGACATACACACCACACTGCACAGTGATCTACACACCACACTGCACGCTGATCCACAAACCACCCTGCACAGTCACCTACACGCCACACTGCAGGGTTATCTGCACACCACACTACATGCTGATCTACACACCACACTGCACATGACTTACACACTAAATGGTGATCTATATGCCACACTGCACAGTGACCTACACTGTTATAGAAAATGTGAGAAAATGCCCTGTTCTTGATGGGGGGTGGATGTGTTTCCTGGAATTCAAAGTCACTTGGGAAGTTAGAAAGATATAATTTTCTAATGTTTGCATATAAAAAAAATTTACTTCCCTTTGCTTCTATGTTTCCTTCTTCCTTTTTCTTACAAACGATGCAGATGACTCTTAATCCTGTATTTAAATTGGCTAGAAAAAAAATGAAATTACATTTCAGCTGAGACTGCTTTCCCAAGAAAGGGAAGAAAAGGGGAATGCAGTACATATTTTAATGGAGACTCATTTCTGAAAGTGGCTTGAACTATCCATATTAAGCTTTCAGATAAAGTTTTGGTTGGCATTTGAAGTTTGTGGTTTGTGTGGAAAACTTTAAATTGAGTGGGCCAGAATTTTACTTTCCCTCTTCAACGACTTTTTATAGCTGGAATGCACTGTTTATTCAGACCTGTGCTCTGCTGTCATGTTTGCTATTTTTAAAATCATATCTAATTACATTTTCATCCTTTTTATATCCTACACTTTATAAGATATGGTTTGATTTTATGGGGCTTTAAATGTTATACAGATACAGGATGACTATAAAATATGAAGACTGTTGTTTTGGGGCAGTTTATAAAAATTATGACCATTGTTTATCCTTAAATCACAAAAGCCTCATCCTAATCAGAAAGTATTTTTAGAGATGGCATGTATGCCCCCTGCTCAGTACTGGACACGAGGAGTTTGGAACTGCCCTTAAGGATATTATTCTCCATTTTGAGATACAGGGAAGAAAATGAAGTGGCTCCAGGCTTCCTATCACGTGAGTGACAGGAGCAGAGTAGGGGAGGTGAGCGGGCAGACAGGCCACCCGTCTGGTGGGGGATGGGGGTGTTGCGTGTGTCAGGAGAGGAAAATGGGAAATTCCCAAACCTTCCTCTTGATTTTGCTGTGAACCCTAAAATGCTCTTTAAAAAAGTCTTTAAGAAAAAGGATTTCACAAAAAGTTTCCATGTTTCTCAACCACTCTTTCCCCTTCCAGGAAATCTTCAAGTTACCAATTCCTTCTTTCCTTCCAGAGGATATTATGTGCACGTGCAAGCATTGTCCCCCCTTCCCTTCCAACATGATTATAGAATGCTCTACTCATTGCTTGGCAATTAGCTTTTATATAAATATTTTCTATGTCATAAATCTTGAAGATAATTCCAATATCAGTTTAAATAACTTCCTCAATCTTTTTTATTATGGGGGGCGGTGGGTAAGTCTGCACATTATTTCATAGTACAGATAACCCAAACTGAAAATATATTTAACAATTCTCCCTTTGAAGAGAATTTATGCTGTTTAAAATCTTTGATAGTACAAACCATGCTGCAAAGACTATGAGTTGAACCATGTGCAACTAAACCCAGGGGACTATTTTGTTGTGGTTGGGTTGTTGTTTTTCCCAAACAGGTCAGAGAGTGTCATGACCCTCAGCACACTCCATTGCCTGTTTTAAAAACAAATTTCAATTCCTAAGCAGGACTTAGTGCTCAGCTGCCTCCCCTGTGCCCCTCTCCGAGGTATCTCTCCCCAGTTCTACATTCTGGTTTCTGCAGTCTGACGATCACTGCTTCATAGACTTTCCCACCTCTGAGCCTTTCCTGTCGTTGTCACTCAGCCACCTGGATTGCCTTCCATCAGCAATCCCCCCTTTCTCCAGGCTGAAAAGGAATCCTTAGTCTTTAAGATAGCATTTACCTTATCTGTGGAGATTTCCCTGAACCCCACAAGCAGAATTAAAACGCTTTTCCTCTGTGTTGTACCTCTGTTTCCATGAACGTCATTTTCTTTGTGTGTTGTGGCAAGCCCTTTGTGGGTCTTTTCTTCAAGGGCAGACCCTGGGTTTACTATTTCTATTCCTCCCTGTGCTGCCACTGTGACTGGTGTACAGTGGTCACACAGAAAATATCTGTGTTGAAAGAAGTAGAATGGATATGATTTCCTTGCTTCTTCCTCCACCTGTCATACTCAACCTACATTAGGTTAAGGTTCTTGTGCTCAGAACAAATTAGTACTATGGAAAGCAAGCACTCAAAAGCTCTGGCTGGAGAGAACCTTGCCTTTGTGCCAGAGTCACCTTATGTGTATTGATGACTTAGTGACCTTTATTGGTCATCATCTGCCACTTATTTTCAGTTCCTTAACCTGTTGTATGTCTGAGCTGCCTTTGTTTCCTGCTGCTTAGTTTTAATCTTGCTTGCCTAGAAATCGCACTGCTGTTTACACTGACCACTGACTCCCAGCTACCTCTTGCCCTCTTCCTTATCTGCCTAGAATTTGAACCCCTTCTGCATCTTAGTTCTTCTAGATTTACTCTTTCTCAATACAATGTGCCTCTTCTAGTTCCAAAATGTATAGCTTTCCAAAGTCATCTTCCATTTATTGCGATAAATAGTTTTCGGGTGTCTGATCTTCATTTGAGTCTTCAAGATGATAATTTCTCTTTCTATTTGTATTCCTTGTGAATGAGCAGAGATTGATATGGTTAACAGACAGAATGCTTGGATGATTCTCAACCCCAATGTCTAGATCTGTAGCTGCATAGCAGAGATACATGTCCAGTTTCTAAGCCAATTTCTAATGTGAGACCTGCAGTTTTCAAGCATGAGCTAGATGGAATTAGAGGATCTCCCCTGAAGTTGCTGGGTTCTCTCACACTTTGTACAGAAAGAGTTCTCCAAAATCTACAGTTCTCAATATGTATTGCTGTCAGGATTCATCTTTGTTTCTACTTCCACTGCCATGCTCTGTGTGTTGAAGTTAGACATCTCCTAGATCAGGGTCCTACCAATGTTTTCCCATAGTTCTGACCTAGGTTTTTCCTGGATTGTGTTCTTTGAATAGAGAAAGTAGGCTAGCGTGGGGAGCAGCGAGGGGGACACAGTGGTTCATGTGCAAGGAAGGCAAGGACATCATTCTGACACCATCATCCACTCACAAATCTCAGCATCTTTAATAGAAAGAAAGAAGAAAAAAACAGCCTTAATGAAATAGGAACAGAATGTTAGATGGAGAATAGATTAGAAAGAAAGTTATAAAGAAGGGGGTTCTGAAGGCTTGAGTGTAAACTGAAAAGTGCAATCATGAAGTGTCTTACATTGGTTACAGTAATGAGCACAAATGATGCCATGGAAAATTAAATCACTAATATGGTAAACATGGACAAAAAAATCTTTCAGTGTACAGATACAAAAAGAGAGCTAATGGCACATCCACTTTGGTTGGCACATTGGCAGTTTCTTATAAAGCTAAACATAGTCTTGTCATAGAATCCAGCATTTATACTGCTAGATATTTACCAAATGAGTTGAAATTTTATGTCCACACAAAAGCTTGCATTCAAATGTTAATAGAAGTTTGATCAATAATCACCAAAAATAAATACAATCATGATGTCCTTTGACAGATGAATGGATAAACACACTGTGGTACTTCCAGATAAATAAAAATAAAAATAATTTTATTATTATTCAATAAAAAGAAATGAGCTCTCAAGCCATGAAAAGATATGAACTTAAATTCATGCTCAGTGAAAGAAGCCAGTCTGAAACTGCTTCATACTGTGTAATTCTAAGTGTATAACATTCTGGAAAAAAAGCAAAACTATAGAAGTAATGAGAAGATCAAGGGTGCCCAGGGGTTTGAAGGGAGGAGGTAAGGGTTGAACAGATGAAGCACAGAGCATTTTTAAGGCAGAGAACGATTCTGTGTGATACTGTGATTGTGGATACATAACATTACACATTTTTCAAAACCTGTAGAACTTTACAGAACAAAGAGTGAAGCTTAATACATGCAGGGTAAAAAATAAAAATCATCCCCAGGAAGGAATGTAGACTGTGAAAAAAAAAATCTCACTGCATGTTAAAAATGCATGAAGCAACCTCACTGAAGGAGAGGCTGATACTTGCTGTCTCTCTTGGATCACTTGCTCTAGGAAAAGCCAGTTGCTATATCATGAAGACACTTCAAGCAGCCCTATAGAGAAATCTACATGGTAAGGAGCTGGGAACTTCTGACAATAGCCATTTTGAAGCCATATATGAAAGGCCCACAGCAAGTATCAATCCTCAATGGGGAAAAACAGAGACGTTTTCCTGTAAGGTCTAGAAAACAATAGGGATGTCCACTCTCAGCACTGTTCAACATAGTACTGGAATTTCTAGCCTCAGCAATCATACAACAAAAAGAAATAAAAGGCATCCAAATTGGCAAAGAAGAAGTTAAACTTTCACTCTTCACAGACAACGTGATACTCTATGTAACATAGACAACCCAAAATATGCCACCAAAAAAATTGCTAGAACTGATACAGGAATTCAGCAAAGTCACAGGATATAAAATCAATGCACAGAAGTCTGTTGCATTTCTACACACTAACAATGAAGTGGAAGAATGACACTGTATGTTAACTAAATTGAATTCAAATAAAATTTTTTTAAAAATAAATTTTACATGAAAAGAAAAAAATAGTCATTTTGAAAGTAGATCTTCCAGCATTCGGATAATTGCAACTTTGGCCAACCTGGTGGGACAGAAACAACCAGTGAAGTTCCTTTCAAATTCCTGACTTACAGAAACTGTGAGATAATAAATGTGCTAAGCTGCTAGAAAAGACACAGAAAGAAAGAGAAGACTGAAGGAGAGAGAGAGAGAGAAACAGAAGGAGGGAGGGAGCAGGGGATGGAGAGAGAGAGAGAGAGAGAGAGAAAGAAAGATCAAGATATTGAGGAAGAAGTTGATAGACGTGGAGGAAAGACCATGGAACTCCAATCTAGAATGAAAAAAGAATAGTCAATATATAAAAGTAGAAACTTTCACGAGCTTTGAAAGTATTCAAATACATTGATTCAAAGAGTTGGCTATATTTTGAACCAAAAAAAGGGGAGAATTCCAAGTTGAATACAAAAGAAAATGAAAAAAATAAAAGAGGGAGAGAGAGAGAGAAAGTCGTTCAGGTATCCCAGCAGCCAGAAAACACAATAAAACAAAAACAAAAGGAAACACGTTATTTCTAAGAAATCTGCATGACCTCAGACATTTACTCTGCTATACTAAATTACAGCAGAAAAGAAAAGAAATAGTAGGAGGAGTGATGTCAGCAAAATGGCCAAATATCCTCCCTTGAACAATAATTTGGCATCCATCCACAGACAAAGGAGCCTCTGTGGGATCTGGGGAGCCAAGTAGGATTTGGAAACCTTGGTTTTGAGAAGGCAGACTCAAAGCCACGTCACGGAATCACTAACTATATGTGGTCTGGTTACAGAAAAGGGAACTCCACACCCCTGGGAACTTTGAGACAGGCCACTTTGGCTGTGGGTCTATGAATCCTTTCTTCTCTGCTCCTTGGAATATATTTTTATTCTCAAGTTTATGTTTCATTGGCATTATTGCACAGCATTAGGGAATATCCTTAAAATTATAATGAGTAATGCCCTGATAATGACAATGAGTAATGTCATTGTAATGATGAGCTATAAGATTGATAAAGAGGATGGCTTGTTAATGAAATGGAAAGTAGATTAAGTAAAATGTCAAATTAATTAGAAGAATGCAAGATTATGTAGAAAGAGTCAGATATCAGCTATATTTATTTTTAGGTGCTTTCAAAATCAACCTGATAGTAATATATCAAAATTATAGGGGTGACCATTTTAGGATAGTGGGATATAAGGTGATATATAAGCTAAAGAATAGGCTAAATTGCTGTAACAAAGAAGCTAAAAATAGAGTTGTTCAACAGAACATAAGAGTACTTATCAGTCAAGTAATAGTTTGGAGACAGGCAGGTGGTTCGGAGCTGGTAGGAGGCTGTGCAGTTAGAACTCCTTTAGGAGCCCTTGCTTCTGAACCACATCCTTCACTGTGGTCCCTGCCCACTAGCTCCAAGCTGGTTGGGCAGTACCAGTCTGTGTTCTAGCCTACAAGAAGGGTGGAGGGAGGATGGGCTAAATAGCTTTCTTATAAAAATGTGATCTAGAGTTGGTATATAGCACTTCTAGTTTGATAGCCTCGTGGAGCTGAAAGAGGTCCTAGCAAAGACAGTCAGTAGCTGGGCTTCAGTCTAACTTCCTCAAACGCAGGGGAAATTCTATAGCTGGGAGTAGCAAAGGAAAGGAGGCGGCCAAGGTCATTTCATCATTAACTGGAGGACTTCTTTTCTTAATATTTGTCTATAATTTTTAATTAAAAATAGGCATGTATTCCACTTATGATTTTTATAGACACACACACACCTACACACAAACACAAAAACAAGGAAGAAAAAAATTCTCAATGACTTCATTCTATAATACCTCTTAAAATAAAGATATTTATTACAGGTAGCTGTGTGTTCTGCAGATGCTTTACTTTTTTGTCAGATTTCTGATTTGAACACCAAGGAGAGAATGATGAAATGAATTATCTAACAGAACCCATAATCTCAAAGTAGTTTCTCTGGAGCTTTCTAATAGAACAGATTGTTGTCCTGATTTTATGTATTGTATTTTTATGGCAGATCAGCCTTCCTGAATGCAGTTGCTAGTTTGAGTGGTAAATTGAGACTATTCACTCAGTGACGCCCAGCTCATGTCCGGGAGGAATTAGCTGGAATGTGATGGGTGGCTGTGAGAAGTTGTCCTGAGTTAGAAATTCCCACAGACTACCCAGAATTTGTTCCATATCGTTATTTTGTCTTTGGTCCGTGATCATATGTTTTCTAGTTGGATAGATTGCAACACTTCCCCTCTGCAGATTAGAAAGAAATATCAAGAGATTCTCCGAAGATTGTGAAAACTTCAGACCTATTTATTTCTCCAATTATAGGCTTTGGCTTTCAGATCAAACCTTATGTCCCTTTCTAAAATTTTAAATCATTGGTAGGCTTTAAAATATTGCTAATTACCAGAGGCAAAAAATGTCAAAGTGTTGAAAATATTAAAAGTGAGCAATGTGCCTGCAAAAAAATGTCTTCAACTGAATTTCTCCGCTAATGACAATGACAATGTGAGTGTTATTTAGTTGACTATTTAACTGACAAACACATATGATGCAGTGGCACATGAAACACAAAAAGATTGATGAAATATGAAAGCTATTGAGTGGAAAAAACTGGACATGGATGGGATGGTTTTATAACTGGCAGAAAATGTCCACTTAGGAACAAGATAATTGCTCTGTCAATCTAGATCCAATGGATTTAATAGTCTACTTGTGTATTTGTGTTGCTGTGATATTCTCCCCCTATGATTATGGCAATGACTTTTAAGTAAATAGAACCACTTAATAATTTGATATTAGAGGTCGCTAATGGCAACCATTTATGGACATAGCATTGCCTCAAGCTTAAAATGAGTGAGTAATAAAGCTAATAATAATGGCTAATGTCATGGGCCAGGGATATTTGAAATGCATTACCTATGTCAATTAAATCCTCACAACAGTCCTCTGAGAAAGGTACTATTATTATCTACATCTTATAGATGAAAAAAAATCACTGTTAAATTGCTTTAATAATCTTTCTAGGTTCATGTGTATTTTAGAAGCACAGTGAGGGTGTGCATGTGTGTGTGTGTGCGCTCCTGCTACAGAAGATTAGCAGAAAGTACGTTGTAGAAAGAAGCAAATACGATTGACCCTTGAGCAACAGGTGGATTAGGGGCACGAAACCTAATCAAATATCTGAACATATTTTTTGACTCCCCAAAAGCTTAACTGCTAATAGACTACTGTTGACCTCAAGCCTTACTGATAAAATAAACAGTAGATTAACATATATTTTGTATCTTATATATATTATATACTGTATTCTTATAATAAAGTGAGCTACATCACTTCTCGGCCTTTTGGCTAAAATCAAGAGTAGTATCTGTTCTTATCAGTTTAATATCTGAAACATCCTCAATCCAAGGGCAATATACTACATGGATTTTTAGAACAAGGAGATGGAATAGGAGCTTGCTCTGTCCACCTCATGCATCAACCTGGTATTTCAGTAATTCCAAGAATGTTGCACTTTCATCGGGGGATAAAGGAAAAGTAAGCTAGAGATAAAATAAAATGTTATTTACCCTACTGTCCTGTATTTAGCTCTACCACAAATTTACATCAGCTATCTGTAAGATGAATCATCTGTTAGTACGCACATCAGTATTGTCTTATATGATACAAAACACCATAGATGGTACATGTATTATTAACGCTGAGCATCAAAAATGAAAAGATAATGTACAGTATTTGTGTGCATAAGTTTTGATAAATTTTAACTTTTTATAATAGATTGTAGATATTTTATAGTAGTCAATGATAAAACAGAATTGCATCTGCATATATTTTATGCATTTATGAGATACCTAACTTTTTCTTAATTTTTTCAATATTTATAAGCTATGTGGTTCATCTGCAAGATTTTCAAACTGTCACAAATCTCCAAAAATTTTTCCAATATATTTATTAAAACAATTTGCTTATAAGAAGACTGACACAGTTCAAACCGATGTTGTTCAAGGGTCAAATGTATTTGTAGAAATGTCCCCAAGAAGTCAGTTATACACCCAAAAATGTGGTTGCATACTTGAAGAGCCTTCTGGTAGATGAGGTAGATGGATTACGATGAACAACAGGCCAGGAATAGGCTTTGGCTTTGTTCAAAAATTAAAAGTGATGTCTTCTGGAAAGGAAAAGTAATAGTAATAAAGGGGAAAGAAAAGGAGAAAGGGCGGGAGAAGGATAACTAATAGCTAACATTCATTGAATGCCTACTGGGAGCAGATGATGTGCCTGTGTCACATTTTTCCTTTACAGACAAGGAAACTGAGACACAGACAGAGGAACACCACTGAAGTTATGACCAAGCAGGGACTCCCACCCAGGTATCCTGACCTTCGAATAGAACACGTCTGAACACATGGCTATCTCACGCATGCATAGCTTGTCTTTTTAGCTACAGCAAGTGCTTCTGTAAGAACAGGTGTTCCGTTTTCTTCCATTTCTATTTTGTGCTGTGCAGCCCTGCTTCGTGCAGTCCTCATTCAACTCTTTAAGAAGGCATAGTGAAGTAAAGTGATGGTAGTTATATGCAGGTTGGGGCAGGAGAAGTGACACATCGTTTCTCTGTCTTACTTTATGATTACCAGGACACGTTCTGTGGACTCCTCTCTCCATGTCTTTGCTCATGGTGCTCCCTCAACATGAACTCTGTCCATCCTGCCAGTGTTCTTTAACATCGATCCTGAACGTTGCATTGTCCTGGCAGGTGAATTAATCTCTTCCTCTGCTGTCCTTCCAACTTATAAAGAATACTTACCTCTGGCTTGCTTTTGTTTTTGCCTCCTCCTCTTTAAAGACGGTGTCCATTTATTATTTCCCCTGGGGTCTGTCACACTCTTGGCATCCTGCCTTTGCACACACTCCTGGCTTTGCCTGGAAATACCTCACATATCCGCATGGCTCACTTTTTCACTGATTCAAGCATCTCATCAGAGAGACCTTGTGTGCTCCTGTAGGAAGAAAACATGCCAAGGAACGGCAAGTTCTCAGTTCCAGCACTGGGAGCGTAGAAGAAAGTGTAAGGGTACAGTATGGGCAGCAACCACATTGATGCCACTGTGCTACCTACAATAGTCCTCCAGCTGCCTCTTTTGGGTTTGTTTGTTTTAAAGATTTTATTTATTTACTTGAGAGAGAGACAGAGAGAGCACAAGCTGGGGAAGGGGCAGAGGGAGAGGGCCAAGCAGACTCTCCTCTGAGCAGGGAGCCCGATGCAGCCAGGACCCTGAGATCCCAGCCGGAGATGAAATCAGATGCTTAACCAGGCTGAGCCACCTAGGCACCACCCCAGCTGCCTCCAACTCACTGGGTTTAGCCTCATAGCAGGTGTCTGCTCTAGTGTTTGCAACCTCCTCTGGAGCTTCCTGGGTGTAATCTGAAACCAGCTCCCCTGGGCAGAGGGCAGAAAGAGACTGAAGAAAGACAGCCACTCCAGGTTGGCAAGTTTATTCAACAAGAAAACTTACATTCAAGACTTGTCTTGGGGGCTGCAAGCAAGAGGAGTAGGTTTCTGCACCCACCCACCAAATCGTAAAGGTTCATGAAGAGGCCTTCCCCGGGTTCAGTCACATACACTGTGCAGGTGTTCTCAACACTGCATCACTATCTTGAGGCTGTGTCCCTGCAGCAGCTTCTGGGACTGGGGAAGGCAACTGAACCCACAGTCCAAGGATGGGGATATGTGCATAGTTTTATTTTTTGTTGTTTTTCTCCCCCTAGATTTCATACTCCATCAAACAGAACAAGTGAGTGGACTGACTTTGTTTAATTCCCTGTGGTGCTTTCAGCACAGTATCTGGCACATAGTAGGTGTTACTTTATAGATACTTGTTACATGAAGTAACAAATAAATATGTGTTAGGGATTAATTGACTGTCTTGTTTTGTTGAATTTTTATTTAAAAATAAAGTGTGGTTCTGGGTGCCTGGGTGTCTCAGTTAAGCGTCTGCTTTCTGCTCGGGTCATGATCTCAAGTCCCAGGATCAAGTTCCGCATCGGGCTCCCTGCTCAGCGGAGAGTCTGCTTCTCCCTCTGACCCTCCCTCCTCTCATGCTGTCTCTCTCAAATAAATAAATAAAATCTTTAAAAAAATAAAGTGTGGTTCTGGGATGTCTTTTAAAGCATTATTTGTTCAATACTGTATTTCAAAGATTCTATTTTTTAATGTGTGGTAGGGCCTCATTAACTGATTGTGTTTGCAAATGACCTCAGCTTAGGCAACTATCCCTTATCTGCGACAACTTTTGCACAGTAACACTTTTATTATGTTTGTTGGTATATTTTCTTTCTTTAAATATTTTTATTTATTTGAGAGAGAGAGAGCACAGGTGGGGGGAGCAGCAGAGGGGCAGACTCCCCACCGTGCAGGGAGCCCGATGCGAGACTCCATCCCAGGACCCTGGGATCACGACCTGAGTCAAAGGCAGACGCTTAACCAACTGAGCCACCCAGGCACCCCTATTTCCTATTTTTCAATAACATAGAGAACCTGTATGTCAAACACTTCTTTGTTTCAACAAATTTGGGGAAGCCAACCCTATTCTCTCTCTTTCTCGCCCTGTCTCTCTCATCATCTATCATTTGTACATATATATGCGTGCAGTAGCCATGGCGGTGTAAGATGTCAGCAAAGACAAGCTCTTTGAATACAGATGTTTTGGTTTATAGATGAGCAAATTGAGTCTTGAGTGTTTGTGATGCCTTCAAGGTCATGCTGGGAAACAGTGGCAGAAGGTCCGCAATCCAGATTGCCTGCCTTCTAGAGAGATATCCTTTCTGCCACACAGCACAGCCTCCTTTCATGAACTGCTGTGTTGTACCATGAAGCTACATTCCTTTCACATGGCATGGCTCTTATAAGATGAGCTTTTTAAATGTTAGTTAATTCCTCAAGTGAACATCTGAGTTTGAGTGATATGATTATTCCTTCTATGTACATGAAGGGAGACATCTGCACGAGGCTGAAGGATGGGCCATAGGTCACAAGAATGATTTGTTTGAATTCAGAGCCTTCCTTGGATTTTGGAACAGCCCTTTCCTGTGGTTCAGAGAACAAAAAGTTATGCAAATTGGAACTGTAGTCTGACTTCAGCCCATCTGGACCCTGATTACATGGAAGCAATTTCCTTATAAGCCTTATTCTAGTACGTGCTTCCTCTCTTGACTCTTGAGCCATTGCTACATGAGGCCAATTCAGCTTGAGTGATTTGCTTCCACGTAACTTTATTTTTGCCTAGATTGACTGGATATTTTGCATTTACCTTCAGCAACATAGGAGAAGTTATTTTTGGAGGGGAGACGTTAAAAATCAATGTGTTATTATTGGGTGTTGAATTACAGTAACCCAGGGAAATTGTCATATAATTGTTGCTGCCTCCTATAATCTACTTTCTCTCTTTCTAATACAAAACATGAGGAAAGCTCAAGCACCCTGATGGCTATATTTTTGTTTCCAGAGCCATAAGCACCAAAGTTAAAGAATATCACCCAGGCTGCCCAGGTGGTAAGTGCCGCAAGCTTCACTCAGGGCATAAAGGGTGCTGAGGCGTGTGCATGTGCTGGCCTGACACGTGCGCACTGTTGTTCTCCTGGCCGTGTGCAGTGGCTCCAAAGCCATGATGAGGCTTAGTCTGCTAGAACAAGCAGTGATGGATTTAACCAGATCATCTCCAAAATTTCCTTGACAGAGTTTGTATGGGCATTTCTATTTTTATACAATTTCAATGTTGGGAAGTAGGTCAGACATTGCAAATTTCCTCCCTTAAGCCATGGACAGAAGGTTTCCAGAATATGAGCATGTGTATGGGTATGGGCATGTTTCTGAAAGAGAGAATGGGTGCTTGAGAGAGACAGACAGAGAGACAATGACAGAGACAGAGAGACAGAGAAACACAACAACTCACTTTTCCTGACGGCGTCAGTTTCTTCTTTATTATTTCCTCTTACCCTAGCTTGGGGTTATTCAGCCATACTTTTACTAAATCTTTGAAACAAATGCTTAACTCATTGCATTCCAAACTCTCCTTTTTTTTTTTTTTTCCAAGATAGGCCTTCAAAAGCATCCTTGCATTCTCTACAGCCATGTTCTTCATTCTTGAGGCTGACCAGTCACCTCCAAATGTTCACAGAAGTGGGCCTGGATCCTTGTACGACCTGGCAAGTCCCATTCAAGGAATATTTAGGCCAGCAATGATCCTGGCCAGCCAGATTTGCTCAGTGTCATTTTGGTAATACCATCTCTGGCCTCAGTGCTCCTGAGCAATGGGGGTGGTATCCAATTCTCCTGATACATTGGCTCTGTCCCATAGGAGCCTACCACAGAAACCAAATCCCTGGAATAGCAACAGCAGCAACTACAACTCCAGGTTGCCATATCAGGTCTTGGAGGTTGTGCACTGCACAACTCCAGGGGGTAACAGGCATCTCATAGCTTTCAGAGATTCATATATTTACTCCAAGAAA